AAAATATTTCTGATTAATGTATGGAAATACCAGAGATGTCCTTGCTGAACAAACAAGTCTTATGCACCCAGGAGACTGAGCATGAAAATCGCGTTAAAGAAAATAATCCTAATATAGTCAAGAAAGGAATGAATATTTAAAGCTGAACTGCCATACCTGAGACCTCAGACAATTCCAGTTTTAAGGTGCTATGGGCCCAAAAGGATCAAACCCATTGCTGATGCAGTCTTTGAGGTGTCTTAAACTATTTTTATGAGAATAGGCTGGGGCTGTACGGGGAGGGGAACCAACAGTCTTGCTCCAAAAGCTTACTCTGGGCATACGATACTTGCACTAGAGGGAGAGCAGGTTTGTGCAGCAAGGTGCTTGCACTGCTCCCTCGTGCTGGTGTTTTCCATCTTGCAGGGGCTGTAGACCAGCACCTGAGACCAAAAGCAATGCAGAGGTGTTTGGGGCTGCCGTGGGTCGGTGGGTACGGACCACAGCTGGGGGGAAAAACAACCCCCACCTTCTCCGCAGCACTGAAAGGGCACCTCCCCACTGCCTGGGGAGGCTGTGAGCCGCCAGCGACCGCAGGCATCGAGACTGACCCTGTGGCCACGCAGCCTTGGACTTTGCTGCCGCGGTGAGCCGTGCCAGTTGATGTTGGGCAAGGATAAGAAACCCAGCCCTGTCCCCTTTGCCACCCCGTGAGCACAAGGCTGTGCCGCTGGTGGAGGTGGCCTCAGGTCTGCTGAGGGTGGGCTGCTCCCTGCATGGGGGGATGGAGGACGTGGGTAATTTGGGCTCGGACAGAGAGGGAACGAAGCCCTTCTGACGTGTTTGGTGTTGCAACCCTGCCCTTATCTTTGTACAGAGTCCGGCCACTCTGTGCTCCTCTCTGAGCCCCCTTCTAAATCTGGGCTGTGCTCATGCGTCCATCTACTTTTTTAAGCCTCTTTTTTGTAAAGCCTTTGGGTTTTTTTTCCTTAATAGCCACACAGCTTGCATGAACTCCTTTTGCAATGAGCCGTTGCGGCAAGACTAACAGGGCAGATGTGCCCGTGCACGCACCGAGCAAACCCTGGGAAGCTGCAGGCAGGCTGAGTGGGGCTCCCTCCTGCCAGACCTCTTGGGGAGAAACTCCATGGAAATGGCCCCGTGCATTCCCACAGTAACCGTGTCAGCCTGTTCCTGCTCACAACCGTGGTCCTTTCCCACCAGAAACTGTCATAGTCCCACAGAGGTCAGCCCAGAGCCAGACGGGCGCCAGCAGAGCTACACCAGCCTCTGAGGAGCTCACTGGGCATCTGCTCAGTTGCCAGCTGGAAAATATGTTTTTTTGACAGTTGCAACCTTTCCCCGAAGACTTCTGAGTCTTTCATATGTGAGACAGCCACCATGCCAGCTCATCCCTCCCCCCTCTCCTCTCATCTCTTGGGCTTAGCAGCAAAAATCCTTACGAATTTGTGATTGGAGCTACTCCTCCCCAGGGTCTACCATAACTCCGTCCTGCAGCTCTGCCTGGCACCACTAGAATAAGGAGATATTTTGCAGCTCATGACTTCGTTGTCACCGCGAGGACACGCATCCCACGTGCACCGCGAGGATGTGCACACCACCCACCGCTGTTAAAACCAACAGTTTCAAGCATTTGAATTAACGCGGTGTAGCTGGTGCCTTGCAGCGTGGCAGGACGTGACCTCCCCAGGGCACACGTGTGTGCATGGACAGTTCAGGCGTGATCTCTAACACACTTTCACGAGTCTCTGTCACGTCCCTCCTGGCCTGGTACAGCACCACAGTTACCCTCCTTGCACAGGGCAGCCCAATGATGCACAAAGAAATGAGCTCACTTGCTCGGGGTGATGGAGCAAGCCGGTGCCAGCGGCCCAGGACTGTCACCCTGGGGTCCCCAGCACCAGCCCCACAATTAACTAGGAGCCGTCCCTGCAGTAATTGCGGCTGTAGAGTGACCAGCCCGTTGCTGAGCTGCAGGGCCCTGTTGCTGCTGGGGACAGCTTCGCATTCCTGATTTGACAGCGCCACCTCGTGAGGTGGCCCCGCTCCTGGGGAGCCCGTGGGGTGCAGGCAGCCGTCCTGCCCCACCGCTGCCTGCACCCGCTGCTGCCTGCACCCGCTCTGCACAGAGGCGGCTCCGGGGAGGCTGCACACCGTTTTGTGTGCTTTAACCTGCCCGTGCCCACGCAGGTGACAGTAACAGGGACTGCAGCCACAGCCACAGAAGGGGACGTGACACTCAACGTAACGCAAGCGCGTTTTGTTAATGGCCAGGCTGAGAAAGCTCAGGGCTTCTTGGGAACATGAGTTTGGCGCAGCCCCCCCTTAGGCAAGCACAGAAGAGATGTCCAGTGCAGGAGAGGCCACAAAATCCTTCCCACACCCACCGACATCACAGAGCCACAGACAAGCAGACCCACTTCTCTGCTACAAGGCACATCGGAGACCCCAGGCACGATGGTGCCCAAAACCTGGAGAGCACTGGCAGCCCTGCCAGGTGTGACACCACGTCATTAAAGACGGGGGGATCAAATACGCACCTTGGGAGCAGATTCCTCCTCCTGCCAGGGAAACAGGTCACTGCTGCTGCAGGAGAGTTGTGCTTCCTTCTTTCTTTCTCCTCTTCCTACTGGAGGGTCTCCAAGGCTGGGTCTCAGTCCCAAATCTGATGAAGCAGGACAGCTAATAAGGAATCTGGGGTTGCTCTGTCCGGGGCAGACATAGCAGGGTCTCCTGGGGAATTTCCATCACCACCTGAGCAGACACGCTGACAGCAACCATGCACGGTACCAAGGTGCTACCAAGAACCTGGTTTGAAGGCAAGAAGTTTGCCTAAGTGAGGAGAAGGGAAGGGTTTCATTTCAGGACTGCCCAAGTGCGTTTGCAGGGCTGGTGGTTAGAAAAGTCACATTCCCCTGAAGGACAGCAAAGAGGGAGGTGCTGAGAACCCTGCAGTCCTCAAGGACCTGCCAGGACAGGTGTGTCACAAGCAGCGTGGCACTCCAGAACACATCCCCGGGACACGGCAGCATGACGGCCACCGGTGAGTTACCTTTGCTGGAGGCTTCAGCCCCTCTAAGCACACCTCAAAGGGGACAGTGGGGAAAAAGCAATATTAGGCTTCTGAAACATGGGTCCTCCCTGTGACACAGCTGTGCCTTCAACGCAAGTGGACATTTCCAAGGGCATCCACCCATCAGTAGGCTGATGCCAGCCCACCCCCTTGCATCCAGATCTTTCAGACACAAATAAAACTTCACGGGATAGTGGGAGGTGTTGGGCACTACTGGCACACTACCTGGATGTCCTGGGTGGATGGGGTGGGGGTCTGCAGTGACTGTCACTACCCAGAGCCACAACCTGCCCCCAGCCTGATGGTGCCAGCTAATTTGGGGGAATTTGCTACCAGAACCTGAGCAAGAGGACTCAGAGCACCAAGGCAGTGGGGCCAGAGCAGCAGCACCAGAGCACAGCACACATTTCCTCTCCATGATAGCAGGGTTACGCCTGCTGTCTGGGTAAGGTGGAGGAGCACACCTCGTCCCCTCCAGCCACAGCACCTCCTTTCTCCTGCTCCATGGATGCCACCACATTTGTGCCCAGCCTCCGTGAACTTTGCTATTTAGGAATCTGCCATTCGAACTTTCCAGCTCCTGCATGCAGCTGAACCTGGTGCTTTCCTGTGCCACCCACCCAGAGCACACGGGTGCACTGGGACCCAAATTTCATGGACTGTCCCAGGTTCAAATCCTCCCGTGTGTGCATGGGTCGAGCCCATACTGCACATCCCCTAGAGCTGTTCTGGTCCAGCCTCTCAAACCCCATCTTCTGGTTAACATTTATGTCACACTTGGCAACACAAAGCCCAGGTAACTTTCTTTTCTCTCCCTTGTAGCAACCATAGCCTCCACGGACATGGGGCTTCTGCTGAGAGATGATGTTTTTGTCGACTTTTTCAACACGTTTCTGAATCTTCCCGTAAGTCCACTCCGCACCATAAAGCCCGGGACCTTTCTGAGCTCTTTTCAGGTGAACTTTCAGCTTCTGTGGTGTTAGAGGCTCCAGGAAAACTGAGAATACACCACACTCAGGCTGGAAAATGAGGGAAACCTGAGGACCTCAGCTTGGAGGTAGAGGTCTGAAAAGAAAGATGATGCCCTTCTCTGTAGTGAGGACTAACTAGAACAGCTGGGCTCTGGGCTCCTCTGCCACCCTCCATCTCTTTCAGCTCTCCCCTTTCCTTTTGATACAGGTTTTTGGCCAGACACCCATTTACATCAGCAGCACGGGCCGGTGGGACCTCTGGCCAGAGCTGCCGAGCCGCCTGGTGAGAAAATGAGGGGTGAGGAGGAAGAAGGAAGGGCACAGACCAGGGGAGGGAAGGAGATGGTTTCTCATTGCCAAGGCCACTCTCTGAGTCTCCTGTTAGTGCAGCTGGGGGAGTATTTCAAACCCAGGCATCATTTTGCTTTTGAGCCCTGGGAGGAGCACAAGCCATTTAAAGTCCTGGCATTGTGGACAGCTTATGGGGTCCATCCAGCACTCAGTAAACACTGATAGCTGGAGTTAAGGAGACCGTGTGTGGTGGCAGGGAAGGAGGATGTGAATGTCAGCCCCTCGTGTCCTGTATTCCTCCTGAATTCACCAGGAGCCAAGGTCCTGTTGATCCTCAAACTGGCTCAGCCATCCCCACGGACATCCCCCTTCCCCACAGCCACAAGCACCATTTGCGGTGCTCAGATCTCATAGCAAAAGGGAACCTGCTCCTCTCAGTGCTGCTGGAAAGCTGCTGTGCCTTCCTCTTGGGCTCTGGGAAAGCAGGCAGGCTGCAAGGAGAGGCAGCCTTGCAGGCAGCCACACAGCACTGGGTCTCCCAGGTTTGCAGGCAGAGCTCGCAGGGATACAGGCAGGGGCTATAGCTTGAGTATCCCCCTTCATTCCCAGCACCAGGATGGCTTACATCGCTGTCTAGCAACAGGGCGCCTTCCCCTGCCTCCTTCCCCCATAGCAGGGGCCCATTACTCACCATAATCCCCAGGCAAGAGACGGCTCCTTGCTCACAGCCTAATCCTCTCCTTGGGCATGGGGGGGTGCAACACAGGATCCCAGCCCCCCGGCTTTACTGGCGTGGCTGGAAAAGCACCGCCTGCCTCACTTCTGCAAATCCAGCTTGTGCCTCCACCTCGTCCTCTGCCAGAAGCTCCTGGGTTTCATTCGGTCGGGGGAAGCAGGTGAGTCATCGCGGCACGGAGGAAATCAGAACGGCTTCGCTGCCACAGCAGGGCTTCCTCTTGCTGGGGCTGTCACTGCCTGGTGCCTGCCCAGCGGGTCGTGCCTCTGCTCTGGGTTAAAAAGGCATCGCATGTCCTATTTTTAGGGATGCAGCAGATCCCAGGGTTTCCACGGGATGAACAGGGCTTTACCCCACGGCCCTGTTAGTAGAGGCTCACTGCCTCTGTAGAGTTGAGCTGAAATAGCTGCTTAGCAGAGTTTACCATGCAGTTCATGGGTGGAGCGGGGCTGGAGAGCATCCTTGGGCATGGGAAACTGGGGTCCTGATGTTTCAGGTGTGCTGCTATGCAGAGTGCCCAGAGCTCTCCCACTTCGTTGCGATACGCTCCTCGTCTGATGCATCCTACGCTGGGAAAACAGGCCTATGCCATGGTCTGTCCTACCAGCACCAAGTCTGAATTGTGCTCAGTTTACCCCTAAAATGAGCCATGTCAGCCCAGCCAACTGCTTTTGTCAGCCTGCGTGTCAATGTAAGGGAAGGCCACTGAAAAGAATGCTATGGCAGTGGGGATGCAGATTTTCATTTCAGAAAAATAAGCAATTCATCGAGGCTTGATCCAGTGCCGTTTCTGAATGAGTTGCTGCTTCTTCTCCAGTTGGGTTTAACCTCAAACTGAAGGAGGTTGAGGGCAAGTCCCAAACACAGGTAAAAAAGATGGACGTTTGCAAGGGGAAGAGGCACGACAGCTGGGCGGACTATCACCAACATGAGCGGGTTGTACTGCATCCTTGCAACCACCACCTCAATCCCACAATCCTGTCCAAAACTCCCATTTCAGTGCAATTTGCTGGTCTCCTGGCTCACAGCACTGCTGCCCTCTGGCAGCCTGTGTCAGGGAGCCTGGGGGGATGCTGGTGGTGTCTGGAGGGCTTTCTATGGGGCTGCTCCTGCATGCACCCCCTGATGCAATGTTCTGCACTCTCTCTGACAGCAAAACAGCTGAACTGGCAAAGTGCTGACCAGTGGCTGCTGGAGAAGTGCATCAGCGGGAGCCAGGGCATGTGGCGCTTTCGGGCCTTCATCCAAGGAATGGCAGGTGGGCATGGGGCACTCTGCAGCCCCTTCTCAGCCAGCTGTGGGCCAGCTGTCTGGCAGGACACTGGCACAGAGCTGGGGGCATGGGTAAGCACCAGTGCGACAGGAGACACCGCGATCCCAGACATGGCTTTGGAAGATGAGCCAGCAGCAGAGCCCCAACATGGGTGCTGCACGCTGGGGAGTTGCATAGCCCTGGCTCTTCTCTACACTGTTCCTTTGGTTCATCCAGGCGATCTTTCCTTCTTTCTTTTTTTAAAAAAACAGAGGCTGCTTCGCTCATCAGTGGGACTTTCAGGGACTCCCTCCAACTCCCATCCCTTGTCTGATCCATAGGGGAAGAACTGACCAACTTCTGGCTCACCACCGAAAGGCTCCTGGGGCTTGATGAGTCAGATGCGAGGCAGAGGGACCTCTACCTGTCCTTGCTCCACAAGCTGAAAGCCACTCACCTGCGCGAAGGCTCCAGCATTGTCACTCTCTGCAGGACCATCACTGGTAAGAAACATGGGAGCTGGGGATGAGCAGTGCCCTTCCAGCGAGGTGGACTTTCCTGGATGCTCCCCGGGAGATGGGATACCATCACCAGCTTTGCTTGGCTGGGGAACTCCCCTGGCAAAAACAGGTCTGGATGGAGCCAGTCCACCCCATGATAATGCCCTGCCTCCACTTCAGGGTCGTTCCTGAAAACCAGGCACATTCAGCCCATCAGCACCAGGAGGGAGATCCTAAGCAAGATGCAGGAACGGGCCCTTTTTATGATTCAGAGTTACTGGCTACCTAAATTCTTCATCCACTGCAAGATGGGCATGGAGGAAGAGAAATCATGCCACCCTCTGCTGCAGGAATATCAGGAGCGTTTATTACGGGCCAAATCACAGGAGCCCTCAGGCTTTTCGGAGAATCTCTTCATGATGCATATTAAAAGGAGCCAGGGTTTGTCAGAGTCCTACTGCAGCAAGAAGGCCAAAGCAGAGATCTGGACTCTGCTCAAGGAGGGAAGAGACACCCAAGAAATGAAGATGCCCAGTTTTCAGGTGCAACCAGAGAGGCAGCTGGCGCCAGCTGGGAGCACAAAGGAATCACATCTGGATAAGGATGCTTTGGGATCGATTCCTCAGCAGTCAGAGCATCCTGCAAAGACTGCCTTTGGAGGCAAAGGAGGAGCAACCTCTCCCAAAAGACCTAGACCCAATGCAGAGCAGGTCCTTCATCTGGAAGAACTCTGTGAAGAGAAAGTCCTCTCTAACCTGTGTTCCTCTGCACCCCTTGTCCAGCTGCCATCCCTGAAAAAGCGAGCCAAGACCTTGAGTTTCCTTCCCTGGGCCCTTAGTGCCGAGACCTGCGCGGGACGACCCTTCAGGGACTTCTTGAAGCGCCAGGACCGGTCTGTGGAGACTCATCTCCTGGACCTGTGGCATGACCTGGAGGAATTTCTGCCCATGGTGCTGGACCCCAGCAGAGAAAACAGTTTCTTCCTGCGTCATTTGATCGGGGAGAAGATATGCAAGACCTACCTGGAGGAGGGCACCATTCAGCAGCTTCCCTTGGAGACCAGGACTCTCAGGAGCTTGCGGAACCATCTGATGTCTGGAGAATTCTCCCCCTGGATATTCAGAGCCCAGAAGGAGATTTGCAAGGTACAGAGCAGTGCTGGCAGTGGTCAGGCTGGGAGGTACAGCTGGCATTAGCACCCCTGTTTAAGAAGAGAGATATTTGGAAAAGGAAGATGAAAAGAGATTAGGAAGGGAAAAAACTTACAGTCGCAAGGCACCTTGCACAGGAACCAGTGACCAAGATGCGCCAGGCCAGTGGAGAGGAGCATCCTCACTGGTTTGCTGGGCAGTGGAGCAGATGTGAGCAGTCATTTAGCAGCTGGTGACCTCAGTTGTTAGATGCACATGCCAAGGGCCAGGGGATGGCAGGGCAGTGGCCATCCTTTCGCATCTGAGTCACTGGTTCCAGCACAACACGAGTAAAACACTTGTATAACCCAAACCCTTCTGGGCAGCCTCTGAGCAGCCCAATGGACCAACATGCATCCTGGCAGAGCTGTCCTGGGTGTCTCAGCAAGGTGTAGCCTCCCTATGGCATCACGACCTCAGGGTACGGTGGGGCTGGGGGGTGGAGGTTGCTGCTGGAGCACTGACGGAGGACAACCCACCTTTGCTCCTCCTCAGGTGCTCTGCTGCTTCTATGAGGAATTTCTGGCTGACGATGACAGGACGTTCCTCCAGTTTATGGTAAAGGGGATGCAGAGGGGACACGGGCATCCTCGTGGGGTGTGCAGGCACCAGTGGGGATGTGAAAAGTTGGAGAGAGGGAGAGAGGAGAAGCCCAGCATTAGCTGCAGTGGTCCAACATCCCATGGTGTCCCCCGGCCAACGCTGCCGCAGAGCGATAGGGCAGAGCCTGCCCTGCTCCAGCTTCCTGGAGCAATGATCCTCAGCTCTTCCACCACAGCATCCTGTAAGTCAGCAGTGCTGCAGGCACACACTGCAAGAGCTCCCCTGAGACGGACCGTGACCTGGCCCAAAAGCAGGGAGAAACTTAAACACAGTCTTTCAGGGTACGCGGGGGCGAGACCAGCAACAGGCAGTGCACTGAGTAACTGCTCCATGGTTGCCCACTTCTGGGATTTAATTCTCCCCCTTTTTTCCTTGCCCACAGCAAATACTGCTATTAATGTGACTCATGTGCAGACACACATGTCCCTGTCCGAGCACAAGTGCCTGGCCAACACGCTGGGACAAGAGGGCATGCAGCCTTTTAGCCCATGATTCAACCGCACTCAAGTTTTCCACATATTTTTTCCACTGTGTAAAGGGATGACTTAAGAAAACAGAATGATACAAGCACCCATCTTCCTGGATTATTATCCCTCCTGGCAGCAGAAATCCTACTAATACCTCATGTTTATCAACATCCTAAATGCTAGCCTTACACTAGGAAACCTTCTCTCAGACCAAAACCCCCGAGCATCCCACCTGCATCCCTGCACAAACTATGCAGACAATTTTGCTCACTGCAGATGGTGTTCTTCAACTGTTAGGCTTTTCTCCAAACTGCAATGTAAAATCAGCAGCTGATCCTGGAAACAGTAAGGAGAGACTGTCAGGGCTAGTGCCCCCAAAGACCTGACTCACAGAGATACCAGCATCTCAGTCAGCAAGAGCTGAGCATTTTGGAAAAGTCAGCTGGCAGCTCCTGACCCTGATTCATTAGTTGCAAGTTAATTAGCTGCCCAGGTTTTTAAACATCTCTTGTCAAGGAAATTATCCCTCAGAGCACAGGCCTGGTCTGGAGTGCAATTAGCACTTCAGCAGGTGTCGAGGCCATGCTCTCTGCGGGCACCATCCCCTAAGCCAAACTCCTCCCGGGTCTTGCTGCACTGATGTCAGGGGAATTGCTCGGGGGCTTAGCAGGGCTATTTTTGGTGCTTGCTCTCAGCAACGTGTATCTCGGTCAGAAACCAGCCACTCTAACCCTGCTGCTGGGTGAGTCGTGCAAACTGCTTGCCAGTGGGGAGGGCCAAAACCTGCAGGAGGGTCTCCGTGGGGGGCGAGGGAGGCACTCCCAGGGCACCAGCCAGAGCCAGTCCCAGGGACAGCAGCTAACCAAAAAGGCACACGAGGTTACCTGTCTGGCAGGGACCTCTTCAGGGTTGTTTTCAGCCCTTCTGAGTGGATGTTGACCTCTTCAGGAAAGCTGCTCCCTTTGCTGCCAAGCCGTTGTCTGGACTACCTGGGGGACCTGCTGCATGTCCCTGGTACGTCCCAGCTGCAGGCAGATGGGAGCCAGCTTTAAGCAGCTGCATGGGTAGGTTTAAGGTCTATGCTGAGCTTCGTGCTCATGTAGATTTCTTCCAGACAGTTTAAAGCTAAAGCAGAGATCTAACTTTGGTAGGTTTGTACTCTAAGGCACAGTAAAACATGCAGCTAGCCCATCTGGCACAGTGCAGGACCAGGTCCTCAGATGGGGTATGTGCTCTGTGCAATCACCCTCTGCTCTTCTTGCTGTAGTCTCTGCAGAGCGATGTCTCGATGCCTGAGATGCAAGGCCATGCTCTTGGGAAAGATGAATGTTTCCTCCTGTCCCAGCGGATAAACCAGTCCTTGAAGCTGAGCCAGGCCTTGCATGGCACGAGGAACTTGGCAGGTCTCTCCTCCGAGCACTGGAAATTAATTGCCACTTGGGATCTCCGGAGAGGGGGCTCCATCCAGGCAGAGGTGGAACCTTTCCTGCGCAGCAACGGTAAGAGGAGGCTCTGAATTTCTGCTGTGGCTCATGTTGGCTAAGGCTGATAATGCATATTGTGTGCACCCGTGGTGACCAATGCCCCTAGCGCACAGATGCATTGCTGTATTGCAATACAGGGTGTGGACACCATGGAGTGGGTTGGGACAGGGTATCTGCGAGCCATCAGCTGTAATCCAAGCATTGGCAGCAACCTATGGGCCAAACTCCCTCCTGCCAGTACCAGAGGCACCAAATGCCACAGCCCTGCAGTGGCCTGGGTCACCAGATCAAATGGAGGCTGCAGCAAAGTGACTGAAACCCAAAGCCAGCAACAGCCACTGTCACCCCACTTCCACATCTTGACCTTCTGTGGATGCCGGGACTGGTCGTGCTGGTGTAACACCTCAGCTTTGTCTTCTCACATCATCTTTTGAGAATGACATCAAGTTTCTGGGCACCTGCCAGTGCACTGAGAGTGACAGCAGTCACCTGTAGCAACCCTTAAGTAGCTTGTGGGGCCTCGGTCATACCTGAGAAATGCAGTGTCACTGGTAGACCATGGGACCAGGACACACAAGAGGAAAGGAAAAGTGAGTTACAATCACAATACAGCACTCAGAGCAAGTGCTGAAGGGCTGTCATAGCCAGAAGGAACGAACATGGGATCTGTCCCCTCTTTTCTATATGATGCAGACGCCCAGAAGATGATGTCAAATGAGCTGGCTGTTCAGAAACCCTCGCTGGCTGTGGGTAGTCCAAGCAAGGAAAATGAGCTTCTGTGTCTGAAAAGCCCATCACTTGGTGAGTCCACTCTGAGCAGGCTAGAAGCAGGGTGGGCTCCCAACCATCACGCCCTTGCAGGTGCTCCAGCATACCCTTAGGGGATTGGACAAGCAGAGGTCTTCCCTGCTTGCATCCCATCATCTGGTATAACATCTCCAGAAGGAGAGGCAGGCCTAGCCACCTTTGAAAGGCATGTGTTTTGGGGTGTCAATCCAGCCAGAGAGGGTGGGAGTGGGAGGGCTTCTCTGAAGCATATGCCGAGGACCACGCGGGGGTGAAGAGTTCCCACAGCACCCAGTGTCTCCTGAGCCAGGCTCACCATGCGGACATCAGCATGGTGACTCTGGGGTCCTTTGCCCTGCGGACAGCTGTGGGCAGGCTCTGGCTGTCACCTGAGGAAGGGGCCAACCCTGTTCTGTCCCCAGAACCCGCTGAACCCGAGAAGAGAAAGAAGAGGACTGTTCCCGTGAGGAAAACTGAATCAAGCGTGACAAAGTCCACCACTGTTGCAGTAGAGAAGCCATCTAGAAGACCCAGGTCTGCACCTTGCAGCATGGGGCTTTGGGGTTTTTTGCTACTTCCACTCTTTCAGGAAGCAGATTTTTCCCCGTGCTTTCCTGTAGTGCCACTGCTCCCTGCTTCATCATTGGGCCCCCTCAGATGTAGGCATGGGTGGCCTGTGGGTCTGAACTGTAGCATTACCAGGGAAAGGAGAAAAATGTTTTAACACACCCCCAACCCCATAGTTCAAATTTACTCCTCGCATCTTGTGCATGTCTCATGCACTTCATTCTCAATCACTCCCTGGCATGCCACCTGTACTACAACTGGGTGGCTCTCAGATTCCCAGAAAAATCACTTAAAATCACTCTGTGACCACACTTAAATCTCTATACTTGCTGACTGCGTGAATGTCCATGTGGCTCATATCTCATCTCCTGGGAATACTGCATCCAGACATGAGTCCTCACAGCTCCACATTGGGATATAAATGGTAACCAGGACACAAGTCCGGAGTAGGACCAGCTCTTATTGTTTATTGTGAAAGTCAGTCATTTGACCCAGTCCACTAATCTTTAAATAAGGGCTTGCTAACCTCATAAATGACGCAAAATCACAGTCCATTCCCAGCTCTGGTTTTCCCAAGCTCTGCTGAATCTTTTCAATATAGCTGTCCTCTGGCTTTACATCTATCAATAGTCTCCTGATCTACCAGTTGCAAGCGGCAAGGGTTTTCCACTCCAGAACACCCTCTCCATGGCCAAATGCATGAAGCCCTCTGCCATCCAGTGGGAAATTATTGTTTATTCTCAGCAAGGGCCAGAGGGGAGCACAACCTCCTCCTCCCACTAGTCCTTCCAGGTGCCCCATCATTACCTGCCTCCCTCCCCTGGTCTCTGCGGGGCTGCCCAGTCTGTTTGCAGGTTCTGAGGTCTCCATCACAGACCCAAAGTCCTGCCTTCTCCTTGACTTCCTGGGTAAAGCCTCCTTTCCAGGCTGAGACCAGTTCCTTTGGATACATGGCAGCAAGGCTGTTGGGCAGGTGCACCTATGGCAGAAAAGAAACAGCTTGTCAGGAGATTCCCCCCCCCAGATTCCCAACGGCTCGGTGGATGATGATCTTAAAGGTCTTTTCCAACCTAAACAATTCTGTGGGCAAGACAGACAAGGGAGACTGTGCTCCAGCAGTACCTTTACTGGCCTATCTGCTTCACAGATCCCATGCACCGCTCATCCACATGTTTTTAGCTCTTATTCAGATGTGTCTCTCTTGTTGGAGAAGCAAGCACAGACGTCCTGGCTATTTTCCAGGTCACTGGTGGCACAGAGATCACATCTCCTGGTGTCTCCTCCTCCACAGGCACTTCATGAAAATACTGCACAACCCTGCTCACCTGGAGTTCTTCAAGCAGTTCCTCGAGGAGCGCAATGCAGATGAACCACTGCGTTTCTGGATGGCTGTGGAGAAGTTAGTCGCAGAGACCAACCCCAAGACGAAGAGCTTCCTCATTAACAGCATTGTCAGAAATCATTTCCGAGCTGAAATCCCAGCCGGTAGGCACCCTCCCACCCTGCACTTTACTCCATTCATGATTAAAGCCTCTTTTCCCTGAGCAGGATGCTGGTTGCAGATTTTATATCCTCTTGCAGGCACCTGCCAATTCTCCTTTCCCATCCAGTGGAGCATTTATTTGCTGAGGCCTTCCACTGCCACTTATATTTCTAGGAAGGTGGTCTACTTCTTTGGCAGGATCTACTGACCAAGACCTGCAACATGCAATTCCTGCAGCAGCAGAAATAGCTCTTCCCTATCTTGCCTCCTTTAGATGCTCTTGGAGTCACAGCTTCACTCCCAAAGTAAGCAATTAGCACAGTATAGAAAGGAAAAGGGATGAGACAACCAAATTTGGCAAACAGCAGACAGGAGAGGCAGAGATGGGACATGGTGCCACCTGCAGATGTGAGGGTAGGAAGAGATGTCATGGTGGCTCAGGGGTGGCTGGCAGGGGCAGGCAGTGACCCCACTTCTCTTCCAGAGGAGCGGCTAGACTGCCACACTTCTATCATCAGAGAAATAAGTGAGGCCGAAGTAGTCAGCCCCTTCATGTTGATGACAGCACAGATCTTCGTCCAGAAAGCAATGGAAAAACGATGGTGAGGACCTGGGTTGAGCTGTTTCCTAAGCCCAGTGGTTACACAAACACATCCTTCCCATGGAAACCCCAAGGTGACAGACAGCAACTGCTGCAAACATATTTCCCTATGAACTATCCAGCCAGTGCATCAAAATCCCAGCCAGGCCCTCACCCCAGCAAAACTGCTGTTGCAGCTGCTGATGCATTTACCTGTGCAAGGCCAGCAGGGCTTGTCCCATGGGGATCAAATCACTGTTGGGCTTGCAGAGTGCTGGACTGGAGCAGGAAATACGCTGCAGATAAGCAGGGTGGACACTCCCAAGCCTGCTACATGCAAGAACAGAGCCCAAGGGAGGGGATCCAGCCCCCTGTCCCTTTCTCCAACCTCCTCCAGGAACAGAAGTCTTGTGGGACCCCAATGCCAGGGCTATACCCATCAGCTGCTCCCCCTACTTAGCCACCCTCCCACCAAACCACTGCCCTCCTCATGCATCTGGCTGCCCTTGATGATCTCTCTCTGATCTCCCATCTGGCAGGTTTCAAGAGTACCAGGACCTGTTCCCCCCGAGTGATACGCCTAAGTCTAACCTTTGTTTGCAGCATGGGACTGGGAACTTCAGGACAAACAAGCTGGTAAGGAACGATCCTCTCTGCTGGCAGGCTGAGGATGTTGTCCAGGCAAGAAAGAGAGGAGATGCTGTGGGTCAAGCGGTGCTCACATGAATAGGGTGAGGGAGTCAGACTTGGAGGGTTGCAAAAAGGCAGCTGATTGATAGGTAAAAGCCTCACTCCTACAGGCTCTGGAGTCCTGCTCCATGCAAACTCCACCAGATTTAGTCAGGACTAGCCAAGTAATTCACACTATCACCTATAGCCACCAGTGAAACCCAGAACTACAGGACAGCAAAGATGATGGCTGGGTCACAAATCCTACTGCCAAGGCTGGGCTCTGGTGCTCCAGCTCATAGTGGTGGGTCCAAATGGAAGGGCTCTGTCTGGGAGCAAGCCCTATTGCTGCAGCCAGGGACTGGCTCCCCAGGGCTGTGCCGCTGGCTGACGCAAGCTGTGCCGTGTCTCCGCAGCGGTGGGCTTGGTATGCCATTCACGACATTGTAAAGAGCATCTGCAAGTTCCGGAGGGAGATGGACAATGATCAACACCGTGCAGAGTTTGAGGAGTTTCTCCGGCAGGAACTAGGAAATGAGGAGGAAAGTATGGCTGGACTCCTGCCACCCCCTCTCCTCCCTCCCCAAGATAGTCCTGGGTTTAGGCAGAGAAGTAAGTGGAGGAAACCTGTGGCTCATCTCCCATACCCATATGCTGACTTAGTTTTCTTTGCTGGAGGTATATAAAGAGCCAGGAGAGCAGGTGTCTCAGGATGCCAGATATTGCTGTGCCCAAATCTGCAGACTTAGGTGCTGGAGTTGGGAAATGAGGTCCAAAATTTTACACAGGCAAAATGCACACATACACATTCATGCAATATCTGGTTTTCTGATGCAGGTGCCCCATGATGCTGTTGCATCTTTCTCAAGCAATACTGTACGTGCAAGTTTGCATCTCTTCCACAAAAAAAAGGAGGCACTAAATGAAGCTAAGGTGACACAGGCCAAAAATAATCAAATGGAGATGGTTTTCCATGCAACGGGGAGATAAACTACAGAGTGCTTTGCCAAAGGATGTAGATCCTGAAAGTTTACACACAGGTTTGAGAGGAGGCTGGAAAAGCTGTTAGAAAAGAAATCCATTGAAATTGCTAAATACACAGACACCCAATCTAGATCAAGAAGTCCCTGGAAATGAAAATGTTTGGAAGCTGGAGAATATTGTATATGGGGGAAGTAACACTGATATTTTACCTTTCCTTCTCACTAGTTATCTGCTTCTGGCCTCTGTCAGAGACAGGATAACGGTGAGGCAGACAGGCAGACTTTTGATCTCCTGTACTGTGGCTGTCCCCTATGAAAACAATGAACATAAGCACTCCATGGGTGCAAAGAGGAGGCTGGATGGAGGAGGTTACTAAGCTAGGAAGAAGGCTGCACACTGAATGGGTATGAATTCCCTGGAAAGCCTGGCTGCAGGAAGGCTGTAGTCTACCTAGGTAAAAAGACCCTCAGCAAATTACTTGCATGCAGGAAAAGCAAGCACAGGCAAGGTGAAGGAGTAGAGTATAGCTCAGCATCAGATGCCCAGCTGGCCTCAAACCCAGTGCTGGGAGAAGCAGGACACAACAGCTCTTT